CCAATTTGATCGCAACCAAATTGGGGTATCATGCACACATAACACATAGCAAGCACATGCAACCCACATTAACACGTTGGGAAAGGGGAGAAAACGTATAATGAAACCTATGCGTGGTCATCCACAAACTAGGAATAATCCTAAGGGGTTCATACTTCTTTCACCTAGGCCAACGGGATACCAATTCAACTAGCGTGCGATATATAAGACTCATTTATCCTACGAACGGTACCCGAAACATCAAACTAGACTTAGGCACGATAAACGGAGTCTGTTGGGACACCACGAGGGTCAGGGAAACATCAAACAGGGAAGCCGGAGTCCCGAAGTGGAAAATTTCCAGCGGGTAGCCAGTGGGTGGTGGTTCACCCGCCGGCGACCAGTCTCCGGGCAGCGGGTGCCCGGCGGGCAGTCGCCTGCCCGCCGGCTGTCCGCTTCCGGCGACGCCCTTTTTCGGGCAGCGGGTAGGTGGCGGGTCCCCCTACCCCCACCTACCCCCACTGACTCTTTACCAAAATAAACGTCCCGGGATCCGTTGTGGAACCCGAAACCATGCTTAGACACTTTTAAACGCAATTGATGACACCACGTAGACAATTAACGGATCAAAAGCAAGAATCATATAGCACATATCCTATCATGACTTCTAAACATAATCAACGCCCGAACATGCGAAATCCCACCCAATTATATCAAGAATAACACAATACGAAATTCCAAAATTTTAACCTAGGGCTCTATTCATATTCAAATCAATAAAATCATAGTTCTTCTTTAAAATATCAAGATTCATCAAGAACATCACATAATCATCAAAAACCTCTTATCATCATCAAGATCATCAAGATCACACATAAAATCTTCTCACAATTATCAAGAACCTATCATCAATATCATAAACGATTCATCAAGACACAAGTATAGAGAGGAGGCCAAAGAAGATAATTATAGCAAGGAAAATAGGTTTTGTTGAGACATGGGTTACCTCTTAGCCTTAATTAATTTCCTTGGCTATGAAGGGTCTTTCTCTAAGATTCCTTCTTTCTTGATTTCTCCTAGGGGGATTCTTGGAACTTCTTGTGTGGTGAGGGATTATTGTGGTGTGGGTTCTAGGTGCCTCCTATGCCCCCTATTTATATACCTAAGAGTCCCTAATTAGGGTTAGTTCTATTCCTTCTAGAACTAGGGGATTGGGTTTAGGGATAAGGGCCCATGGACTATGGTGGGCCTTTTCTTAATTAATTATTGGAATTTAGTCCTTTCTTTTGGGTAATTGGTTAAATGATTAATTGGTTTTTAGGGGCCGTAACACGGGGTGTTACACCAGGGACATGCAAAACATCATGTGTAACACCCCGTGTTACGATCCCTAAAACCAAATAATCATTTAACCAATTACCCAAAAGAAAGGATTAAATCACAATAATTAAGAGAGGCCCACCATAGTCCATGGGCCCTTAGCCCTAAACCCAATCCTTAGTCCTAAAAGGAATAGAGTTAGCAAACCTATAGTAATTGGGCCATAAGTAAGACTCTTAGATATATAAATAGGGAACATAAGGAGGCACCTAGAACTCCCACCACAATAATCCCTCACCACACAAGAAGTTCCAAGAATTCCCCTAGGAGAAATCAAGAAAGAAGAAAGCTTCAAGAAAGACCCTTCATAGCCAAGGAATTAATTAAGGCTAAAAGGTAACCCATGTCTCAACAAAATCTATTTTCATAGCTATGATTCCCCTCTTAGGATTTTCCCATATTATTGTGTATCGATGATTTGTGGTATCATTATTGATGATTGGTATGATGATTCCATGGGTGATCTTGATGATGAGAGGTTCTTGATAATTATGGTGTTCTTGATGATTATATGACGTTCTTGATGATTATGTGATGTTCTTGACGATTGTAGGATGTTCTTGATGTTTATGTGATATTCTTACCGAATCTTGATATTAGAAGATGAATTGTGTCCTTGTTGATTTAAAAGTGATTAGAACCCTAGGTTGTATCGTATGATATTATTCTTGGTGTATTGGGCGGGAAATCGCATGTTTGGGTGTTAATTATGTTTAGAAAAGCATGATAGGTTATGTGCCGTATGTTCCTTGCTTTGATCCGTTAATTGCCTACGTATTGTTGTCAATTGTGTTTAAAAAGTGTCTAAGCATGGTTCCGGATTCCACAAAGGTTCCCGGGGCGTTTTTGGTGATGAAAGAGTCAGTGGGGGGGTAGGTGGGGGTAGGGGACCCGCCACCTACCCGCGGCTAAAGATGGCGTCGCCGGTAGCGGGCAGCTGCCCGCCGGGCACCCGCTGCCCGGAAAGGCTGCCGCCAGCGGGTGAACCCTCACCCACCGGCTACCCGCTGGAAAAATACCCAATTTGGGATTTGACTTCCCCGTTTGATGTTCCCCCGACCCCCGTGGTGTCCCAACGGACTCCGTCTATCGTGCCTATGTCTAGTTTGATATTTCGGGTACCGTTCGTAGGTTGTATGAGTCTTATATATTGCATGCTAGTTGAATTGGTATCTCGTTGACCTAGGTGAAAGAAGTATGAACCCCTTAGGATTATTCTTAGTATGTGAAGGATCACGCATAGGTTTTGTTATACGTTCCCCCCCCCCTCCCCCCTTCCCAATGTGTTAATGTGGGTTGCATGTGCTTGCTATGTGTTATGTGTGCATGATACCCCAATTCGGTTGCGATCGGATTGGTTATTCCTGAGCTGCGGTTCAGAAGCTGGCTGCGGTCAGATTTACACTCTTGGGCTGTGGTCCACCGTTTGGTTGCGATCAAAGGTTTCTACATGAGCTGCAGTTCATATTTCCTGGCTGCGGTCAGATGACATACTCTTGGGCTGCGGTCCACTGTTTGGTTGCGATCAAACTATGATGAGCTGCGGTTCATCGGTCGGTTGCGATCGAACCCTCCGTGTTGTGATACGGGGCAGGGTGCTGCGGGACCGTGTCAGAGCTATATGCGCTGACCCTCATGTATGGGCATGCGATTGGTCCTGTGGCGCCAACAAAGTGTGCTATGTGATGAAATATGGATGAGTCGTTGTTATGAGTGTCTTGGGGATGTGACTATGAGATCTATACTGGGAATCGTATATGTTGGATTATGATTATTAATTGTGCTTATTTTTACCTGTCTTGCCTGTTGTAAACTGTATATGCTTGGTATAACTGTTGCCTGTGCTTAGCTCTATCTGTCGAGTCTATCCCTGTTTTAAAAGCTAGAGTCTCGTAGGATATATCTTCACGCTTCAAAATGGTTTTCGTATATCTATATATATGTCTATATGTATTGTATTTCAACGCGTTGGAGTGGGTTACCAGCATCTCTCGCTGAACAGATATATTTGGCTTTCAGGCACAGACGAGTAGATCACTGGAGCGCGCTAGAAGCTTGGGGCGTAGCTTAGATAGTTTTCCCTTTCGGCCTGCGTGCCATGATTTAGTATTGATACTGATTGAGGTTTTAGAATTTAGCTTGTGCACCTGAGTTCTCTAGCTCGGGCGTGGCATAGCACCCCGTACTCTTTGTATCGTATTTTGGGATTTAATGAGACTCTATCTTTATTATATAAGTTTTAAAAGTCTTGAAAATCTGGGGTGTTACATCATGTAACTTAAAAGACATAGAATCAGTAGCTAACGAAGCAGAACCAACATTAACAATAGGCAAACCTGTACCATTGCCGACTCGCAGAGTCTCCGGGCCATCATAATTTATCGCAGAAGTCATCAAAGAAGAATCAGGCGTAGCATGATTTGTAGCACCAGTGTCAGGGAACCACTGATGAGGACCGTTGGAATCACCATTATCACCAGAGACGGCCACATTAGCCTGAAAACCTGGAGCCCCTGAATAACGCCGAAAATAGTTGGCTCCCGTGTGACCAAAATATTTACAAATTTGACAAGGATCATCATAGCGCCAAAAACAATTGGCGCCCGTGTGACCAAAACGGATACAAATTTGACACGGATCATCATAACGCCAAACACAATTGGCTCCCGTGTGACCAAAACGGTTACAAATTTGACACGGATTATCTTGGTTCGATACCATTGGCTACTGCTACGAAGTGAGGGACATGGATGTTGGAAAAGAAAATCCTAGCTAACTAATACCAGATAAGAATATAATTGTGTTGTATTAAATAATAATGTCTGAGAGTACAGGGAGCGAATATGTAGAGATGCTAGATAGAATCCTAGTCTAACACGAATAATATAGTCCTAGTCTAATATGAATAATAGAGTCCTAATATAGACGAGTTATTACACTTTGTAATATTTTCAACATTATTATTATTATTATTATTATTATTATTATTATTATTATTGTTGTTGTTGTTGTTGTTGTTGTTGTTGTTGTTGTTGTTGTTGTGTAAAAATCGACAGACAGAAACATCATGACATGAAATGAGATTCAACTTATCAAATTTATGATGGAAACTCATTCAAGGCACCTAAGCCATGCAAACACGAAACCATACAAATGTCCATGTCACAAGAACTCATCCCTATCTGCTTCAATCAAAATTAAATGACTTATTAGATAAGTCCAACTAAAAAAAGATTAAATTAACATTTAATCAACTTATGTATTCATTAACTTTTTGTACATAATGCAATCAATCTTGAAGTGGTCCAACAGTATAAATTTGAAGTTCTATATAAGTAGTTTTATATATAATTTAACTCCTTAAAAATTATGAAAAAAGTTAAAATGAATTGAAAGTACTAAAATATGTGAATGAATAGGGAAATTTATGAATTTACTTTTAGAGCATTTCCATTGATTATAAAAAGTGGGTTATTTTGTCAAATTTTGTGATGTAAAAGGAATAGAATATATGAGAGACGTGAGAGAGAGAAAAACTAGTTTTGATTGCAACTTGCAAGAGGTGAATTATTTGTTTTTTCTAGACATTTTCAATTTTTTTTTTTTTTTTAGTTGGTGTGCGTGTGTACCAGCGTTGCCCAATGGGCACTTGTTGTATTGGCGGTTGCCGTTATTACTACTACTACTAGTTATTCATCTATCAAGATGCTTTTGACAACTTTAAATTACCTTGTTAATTAACCTTAAATTGTTGAATAGAGAAGAGAAGAGAGTTCATAGACGTCGTTGTCGGAGGGTTGGTGTGGAGGTGTGGTCAGCACATCGGCACCACCACCAGGATACGCCACCAACACCGCCGCCCCCACCATTGCAATTTGGAATATTTTACATATCAGCTGGGCCCCGCCTGGTTTTGGACTTTCTTGTGCTACGTGGCCTTTAGTACGTGGGATGATTTTTTTAAATTGTACATATTATAACCTTATTTGTGGTCCAAATTCATGTCGGCCCTACCTTTTCTTATAGAACAAATTGCACTTTTGGTCCTGTGAGTATTAGGGTACTGGCAATTTGAGTACGTGACTTTCAAAACTCCCAATTTAAACCTTTAACTATGCATTTTTGACAGATTTGGTCCTCCGGACCAAATTACCGGCCAATTTTGGCCGGAAAATGATTTAATAGTTCGAATTATTTTGTGATGAGGGTAAAAACGTCATTTCACTCCCTTCTTCTTCATTCTCCCTTTCTTCTTCGTTCTTCTTCTTCTTCTTCACCTAACAAAACCTCTGAGAAATGTAAGGATTTACAGTTATCTCTTCTTCTTTTTAGAAGACTTACCATTACAAAACAAAGAACCTAAGCCAAAAAAAGTAGTTTTTGAGATGTAATTAGGTGGGATGTTTAATACTGGGCTGATTCTCACGCCATGGCCGCCGGAAGATCTACAGCTACTGCTCTTCTTTAATGGCGAACTGTTAGTATTGTTTTTCTTTGAAGAATTCAAATGGCTATGGCTTTGGGTGTTGAATAGTAATGACGAGAGTGAGCGTGATATGAATGGCTCCGACTTTGATCTCTGTTTCCGGCTGGCCCGCGGCGGCGCGTTGGGTTTGGGGTTCGGGGCGGAGCCGGTTGAATTGCTGCGGGATAGGAATTGGAGGGAGCGGACTAGGGTGTTGCCGCTGTTCAGGCTGTTGCTCCGGCGGAACTGCCAGAAGTGTTTCGCCGGCGGCGAGTCGTCGTCGTCGGATTCTGGGTTTGTTGACAGGAACTCCTTCAGCATCTTTCGGTTCTCGTCGGCATTGGAGAGCCTCTGGGGCGTTTTGGGCTCCGGCGAGGCCGCCGGGATTTTCTGATTTCCACCGGGAGGATCTGGCCGTTGGCGAAGAGCTCGTCGGCGGAAAGGGTGTGGTGGGCGGCGGCGGCGGTGGTGCAGAAGTGGAAGTCGAAGTCGATTGTGGGTTCGAAGAGGAAGGGATCGGCGGCTTGGAATTGGATGGGGACGATGTCGTCGGAATCTTGGAGATCATGGGAGAAGGAGATTCTTGGGCTCGCCGTGGAGCTTGAGGCCTCGGAGCACACATCCACGGCCATGGCGGGGGGGGGGGGGGGTGAGTGCTTCAAGAAGATTGTTAGGTGAAGAAGAAGAAGAAGAACGAAGAAGAAGGGAGTGAAATGACGTTTTTACCCTCATCACAAAATAATTCGAACCATTAAATCATTTTCCGGCCAAAATTGGCCGGCAATTTGGTCCGGAGGACCAAATCTGCCAAAAAATGCATAGTTAAAGGTTTAAATTGGGAGTTTTGAAAGTCACGTACTCAAATTGCCAGTACCCTAATACTCACAGGACCAAAAGTGTAATTTGTTCTTTTCTTATATAACTGTTGCTATTTCCACTCCATTCACTATATTCTATACCAAAATTATTAGTTAAGTCACACTAATGACATATGACTAGAAGACTTCTCACTTCTGTGGAGTGTATATTTTAAACCAATTGGTTTAAGTCTTAGGAGTTTAATTTTTATTCATTTTTTAAAATTCCAATTTGGTAAATAAAGCAATGGTTAAGCCAGCACACACAAGAGACACGGAAAATGGACTAAAATGTGACAATTGACAAATTTGAATGAGCTAGACAAAAAATGGATGTTTTTTTTTTCTTCATATAGGGCTTGTTTGGTTATCAGCGGTTAGCGATTAGCGGTAGCGGTTATCAGATAGCGGATTGTATTAGCGAGTTTGACCAGCAGATTATATTAGCGGTTTATAAAAAAGTGTTTGGTAAAATTAGCTGTTTAAATTAACGGTTAACATGTAAAATGACCATAAGGGTATACATTATAATTTATAATTTATAATAATAATAATTTTTAAAAAATAAAAAAAAAAAAGCGCTGCTCCCCTCTTGTATTCCCACTTTTTCCACCGTCCCACATCGGTGGGAAAAGTGGGAATGGAGCCTTGAGGCTCCTATTTAAGGAGCCTCAAGGCTCCACAAATTCGTTGCCCATCTGGGATGGGCAACGTTGAGGAGCCGTTTTGGCTCCCCAAATTGAGGAGCCATTTCGGCTCCTCAAAATTAGTTTTAAGTTTTTTTTTTTTTTTATAATTAAATATAAACAGGGGCATTTTGGGGAAAATTAAATTTTCCCCAAAACGTCAACTGTAAACGCTGCATTTTGCAGCGTTTGCAAAAGCAGCGGTTTGGAGCAAACCGCTACTCCAAACCACTACTAACCAAACGGTTTCATGTCAAACCGTCAAAAAATGGCGGATCCGCCAATAACCAAACATGGCCATAGTTGGACAAAATGACAAAATTTAAAGGCCGTTTACATCATTTCTATGTTTTCATTTTTCAATTTTTCATTTCTCCAATTTTTTAATTTTCATTCTCCATTTCTATAAATTTTTATTTCTCTAATTTTTTAATTTTATTTTACAAATTTATTTTTTAAATAAAAAAATTCAATATACTAATACTAAATGTATAGCGCTCAATCTCTACTCCCTAGGGTGTTAGGACACAATTGTTATACAGTGGATCATGGTCCACATAGTGCTATGTGGACCATGATCGTCAAATGAAATTGTAGTATAATTAAAATGATACTTCAATGCTTATATAACGAAACTAGTGTGTGTGAAAAATGAAACTAAAAGACAGAGCTCATTTAACAACGTATATTGTCAAATGAAACTGTAGTATAATTAATTAAAACGATACTTCAATATTGCTATAATGAAACTAGTGTGTGTGGAAAATGAAACTAAAAAACAGAGCTCATTCAACAATATATATTGTCAAATAAAACTGTAGTATAATTAAAATGATTCTTTAGTGTTTTTATAATGAAAGTAGTGTGTGTGGAAAATGAAACTAAAATCCAGAGTCATACAATAACATATATTATCAAATGAACCTATAGTGTAATTAAAATAATACTTTAATATTACTATATTAAACTAGTGTGTGTGAAAAATGAAACTACAAAATAGAGCTCATATAATAATGTATAATGTGAAATGAAACTGTAGTAAAATTAAAATGATACTTTAGTATTGCTATAATGAAACTAGTGTGTGTGGAGAATGAAACCATTGCTGAAAATCACCGTTTTTCCGGTCAGAACGTGGTTGGTATTTCCGACCACATTTTACATGATGGTCGGAAACACTTCCCCAAATTTAATTTTTTAATTAGAGTGTATTTGCGACCACCTTTAGAGGGTGGTCAGAAATATTTTCCGGCTATTAAATTTTTTAAACTAATCTTGTTTCCGACCACCGAAGTGGTCAGTATTCCGACCACCCTTGAAGAGTGCTAGGAAATACCGACCACCAAGTAACGGTATTTCACTCATATATTTTTTTTATATTTCAACTGACCACGACGTAGAGAGTTTACTAGTAGATACCATCTCACCATTCTTTCTATGAAAAATAAGACTGTACCCTTTCCATGTAGATACATGAAATCATTTTCTTATTTCAACTCTTTAAAACGTTTATTCTTGTTAGGACTCTACAATCTTAGTTCTGTTGAGTTTCATCATCGTATATAATTTATTGTATATCATCATGTATTGTACTTCGTATTATTTTTATCACAGAATACAAACATTCATAAGATATTATTAGTCTAGATTTTCTCATGGCATCCATTCCTGATGGCTTTGCCGCTGTTTCTTATGAGCCACTACAAGAAAAATGCACATACACAACACTAGAAAGACAACAATTTTTAACAAAAATGTTGTCTTTTATATAAAAGACAACAGTTTGTCCAAAACCATCGTCTTTGACGCAACACTTTTGTCAAAGACAACGGTTTTTACTTAACCGTTGATGTAAGTATGTTGTCTTTGTGCATTTCGAGAAAAGACGACACCACAATGACAACGATTTTTTAAAACCGTTGTCTATGTGTGTTTTTTTTAAGAAAGCGATTTTATTTAGCCGTTGTCATTTGTGTGTTGTCTTTAATAGCACCTCAGGTCATGGCGTTGCCACGTAGGATGGTGCACCCCCCGGGCACTTCAACGGCGCTCCTGTTCTTGAGGGGATGCGATGCGGTGCTAAAAGGTGGTCGCTATTTTCGACCACTCAAGAAAGTGGTCAGAATTGCGACGAGGCCTTTTCTGAATACCCCAAATGGTCGGAAATGACCGGATTAAGGCTATTTCCGACCACTTTTGGATGATCGAAAATTTGTTAATTTCCAGCAGTGAACTAAAAAACAGAGTAATATTATCAAATGAAAGTTTAATTAGAATGATACTTACTTCATGAACTACATTGCTACATGGACCATGGTCCACAGTAAAATTTGCTGTTAGGACAAGGTATGGAATTATCCATAGGATAAGGAATCTCAATTCTACACTACTTAATAGAATCCTCTCCTAGACTGATGCGGTATTTGGGCAAATTATTCTGTGGATCTAGGTCCACCTTGATTTAAAATACACAATTTATATACAGAATATTCACAATTTACATACTGAATATTACAATTTTACATACTAAATGTTCACAATTTACATACTGAATGTTCATAATTCAATTTGTGAACATTCAGTGTGTAAATTGTGTATTTTGAATTCAAGTTCACATTGCAAGGTGGACCTAGGTCCATGGTATAACACTATAACTGCTCGCAAATTATGCTGTGCAACCGAATGCAGCTTGCAAGGTGCATACGGTTGCAAAACGGCGCCGTTTTGGTTAAAAAAAAACGAGCGTCCCACTTAAAGAAGAAATCAGGTTCGATTCCCGGCAATAACATTTTTATATATCCAGAAATTTATAACTATATATCCACAAATACATAACTATATATCCACAGTGAATGAATGAAGTAAAAATCCACAATGAATGAAAAAATCCACAATGAATGAATGAATGAAATAAAAATCCACAATGAATGAACTAAATATCCACAATGATTGAACTAAATATCCACAATGAATGAACTAAATATCCATAAATTCATAACTATATATCCATAAATTCATAACTATATATCCACAGTGAATGAATGAAGTAAATATCTACAATGAATGAACTAAATATCCACAATGAATGAACTAAATATCCATAAATTCATAACTATATATCCACAAATTTATAACTATATATCCAGAAATTCATAACTATATATCCACAATAATGCTATTACCGAGAATCGAACCTGATTTTTTTTTTTAAGTGGGACGCGCGTTTTTAATCAAAACGACGTCGTTTTGCATCGTATGCACCATGCGCATGGTACATTCGGTTGCACGGCATAACTATTGATAACTGCTGGGGTATTTGCCACTAGGCCTATGCGTCTCGGCCCAATGCTATAGTAAGGCCCATTTACTTTTTGGCCCAAATCCAAGCCTAAAATACACATGCCCATCAGTAAGGCAAATTATATCGTGCATCATGACGCACAATGCGTTCCGGTCAAAACGATGTCGTTTTATATTGTATTTTTTTTGGGCAGCATTGTGCGCGCTGTTGCACGATATAATGATTGCATCAGTAAGTCACCCACTTGTGTTTGTTGTGAAAATCATCAACAATGGGAAGTGGCTTCAATTCACTCTGCATATTGTGTTAGGCTTGAATTGGTTTGCATCAATTTGGCAGTCACCCAGTTTTCTTGTGAAGTTGCATCTTCTCAAGCTTTAATTAGAGTATCGCATCATTCGCATGCATCTTTACATTTTTGGTGAATCCTTGTGGGTCCGTATGAGACAACTTCTCTTTGACTGGTCACCCTATCTCACCGGCCCCCTAGTCCCCTACCCCCTACCCCCTTCTCATTTGAACTCTACCATGTGATCAAGCCTAGACCATGATGCCAAACTGGTTCAACACAAGTTGTTTGGTGTATATAGTGCTTCGCTGTCGGTGTTTGTTATCCACTACGGTTACTTTTTTGTAAGGAAGAATGTTTCCCCTTTATGTAAACTCAAGAAAGTGTTTGAGGAAATATATTTGGTGAGTTCCATAAATTTTTTGAGGAAATATATTTTGAATAATCCTGAAAAACTTCAAAGGATTAAGGATTATTGTTATGAAAGTTATATAAAGTTAAGGCTAATAATGAATGTTCTTCTAATATTATATTGCAAGTTTCGATGTTGTTGTTGAGGATTGAGGAGAGGAGGGGGAGAGATGACTATGATTCCTATGTGAATAATTTGATTGACCTTGGGGGGAAATTGAGTTCGTTAGATTATTGTTTTCAAAAAGTTGAACCCCAACATTAAGGGCCCCCACGGCATAATATCTAGGAGGATGTAAATCATGAATCTGGTGTGCACAAGAAATCCCTAACTTTGAGAGGTTGCTCTTACACTGCTGCTGGTGAGACTCAATCACTGGTTATTCTTTCCAAACTGCACCTCTATGACCAGTTGAGTTGCCCATGCAGGCGAGTTTGTTAGATTATTACTTACAAGGTGTGTTGTCAAGAACACCTAATTATGATATTTTAAATTAGTGAAAAATTAATGAACTGAAATATCCATTGTTGCAAAAAATTGTTAGAGATTTCTTAGCTGTTTGTATTTCTTTTCTACTATTGCCTTAGAATTTGCTTTTAGCAATATGGTTGTAGATTGGTTTCATATATCCAAATATGTTAGAACTAATAATGAACTTTACTTTATCAAAATATATATATATATATATATATATATATATATATATATATATATATATATATATATATATATATATAATCACTTCCTTTGGTGAGTTCCCATTGAAGTAGGTTTTCATATATCCAAATATGTTAGAATCATTGATGTATCCTCAAAATTAGTTATTAAATAAATGTACTTTTATGCTTTATAGAAGAGATTGTGTACTTTTATGCTTTATAGAAGAGATTGTGTACTTCAAAATTTAGAGATTTCCAAGATTTACCTAACATTGTGTACTTTTATGCTTTATAGAAGAGATTTCCAAGATAAATGCTTTAGGTGTCACTAATTGTATATTATGTATTAGTAGGAGCCATCCAATCTAAGTGTGTATAAATAGCAACCCCTAACTTTGAGATTGGCATTATGAACTTTGTATTTTGAACTTATACCACACCCACATGCATGGCTTGATCAATCTCTTATTTATTTATTTATTTTTTTTGAATAGTACTAACTCTATTACATTGCACTATCTGTTCATCTATACTTTCTCAACTTGTTGAAGCATAAAAAGTCAACACTGCATCCACTAAGACTCAATCTCATGACCTCCCATATAGGAGCGTCACTACATGCCATCTGAGCACAATGTAAGAATTATTTATTAATTAACACTCTTTATCTCCTTGTGATCCTTTATCAACTAGGATCCCAAGGCAAGAATTACACAATGCATAGCCTTAGTGGCTGTGAATTTTCTTCATTACTCAATTTTAAGTCTTTATATATATATATATATATATATATATATATATATATATATATATATATATTTGAATGGTTATATTGGACCATTGATCTAAACACCAACATACATAATATACAATTATACATGTTTCATTATTTTTGTTGAACATGTAGAAACCAAAAAAACAAAAAAACAAAAAAAAAAATTATTTATAACCTAAATAATCTAATTAAGGGCACATAATATCCTCCAAGATATTATTACTATATTCACCAATGAAGAAATCATTATACTATTTACCAAAAAAATTTTGGCATGCAATGATTGGTTTGGTAGTGAGAATCCTCAGAACTTGAAGTTCTCTTTCAAGTAACACACCATCTCTTGCTGCACCAATTAAAGGGGACAACAAGAATCAATAAAAATGGAGAGCATAGCATTAAACTTGTAGTATATATATATATAGAGAGAGAGACACAATTGTTATACCATCGACCATGTTCTACCTTTCATTGTGGATCCGAGTTCAAAAGTTATGTGTTTGCAGTTAACATATTATGTGTCTACAATTAATAAATTATATATATGTAAATAAATTAAGCATAATATGTTAACTGCAGACATATAATACGTTAGTTGTATATTATGTGCTTGCAATTAACATATTATATGTTTGTAGTTAATATATTATGTCTTCAATTTATTTATAGAATTAATTACATGCACATAATATGTTAACTGCAGACACATAATCTGAATGTCATTTTGAACTAGAGTCAACCATGTAAGGTGTACCTTGGTCCATGGTATAATTTGGCATAGAGAGATGGATTGCAGATTAGTGAGAGTGAGTTCATAAATCATAATTATAAGATGTATTAAATGGAGCATATATAGGGGGGATTCAGAGCTTCTTCAATTCAGCGTATATATGTTTTATGTAATGACAGAGTAATGGCAGAAACTTACAATAATACAGAGAAGAATGCATCCAGTGGCACCAGGAAACAAAGCATACCAATAGTTAAGCTGATGTAGCTTAGCTGCATCTATGAACAATATAGGCAAGCTCGCAGCTGTATGCATATATGTCAAAGTAATTATTAATTAATAAACATCTTAATTAGACGACTTATTAGTTATATGATTTTACAGAAATTAATGCATGCGATGTGCAGAAGAAGAAGGGTTAGGGTTAGGGTTACCGGGAGGATGAACAGCACGAGTGTAAATCATAAAGGCAATGGCAGCAGCAAGAGCAGAGCTCCTAGCCAACCATCCTGGCCCAAAAATGGTGAAAGCCAATACCCCAAATGCAGCGCAACCTATTTGCGCCATAAACATATTGTACTTCTGCAGGTAATAATCAATTCAAGATCAGCGAGGGCATGGTTGTAGTAGGCGCTAGGCGTTAGTCGGGAGGTAGAGTAACACTTAGCGCCTAGACAACCTAGACGGCTAACTAAAAAAAATAATGCACACGTACGGGTATATATATATATATATATATATATATATATATATATATATATATATATATATATATATATATATATATATATATATATATATTAGCAAGGCCGAGTCGGCCACGTTAACTTGGCTAACTTGACCGAAATGGACGAGTTAACCCAGCCTAGTCGGTCGAATTAGGCGCTAGGCGCTCGATTGCCTAGACAGACGCTTAGGGGGGAAATCACCACGGCCTAGGGGTGCCTAGACCGATTTTTGCAGTAGTGTAAGAGGGATACCAATCAACAAAAAAGAGTAAGACACGAGCTACTTCTTGTTGAGCATATAATAATAATAATAATAATAATAATAATAATAATAAGGGGTTATTTAAAAAATAATAATAATAATAATAAGGGGATGTTTGGTTCAGGTTATATAAGATAACCAATGTTATATTTGATTGGTAATATAAGATTCCCATGTTTGGTTCAGGTTATGTAACTTTCTCATAACCTCCGCATTAAGTTTTTAGCTATTGGAAGGGAATGTGAGATACCTTCCAATTTCTTAGGTAATCTCACATTCCCTTGTCTTATTACTAATGTTGAGCTTTAGACATTTTAATCAATTTATCTTATTACCGTTGGTTTATTTACATTCTTAGTTTTAAACCAAACACAGGAATCTAACATTCCCAACAATCTAAGATTCCCTAAGGTAATCTAACATTCCGTGAACCAAATGCCCCCTAAGAGTTAATTCTATTTTTTTTTTTTCATTCTTTCCAATAAGTGACAGTCCACTTTTAGTTGTTCTGATTCTTTTTTAGAACATTCCCTTTTGATCCTAGTATTATTGTAGTATAACCATTTATGGTTCCCAATCAACAAAATCATTGAAATATTGTTAAATACAGGGACAATTAATTTTGATTTTTTTTGGGGTACAAAGTGGGTTGACTTACTATATATTTTTTTTAAATCATAATTAAAGACAATTGTCCTTTTACTTTACGGAATTTAAACAATTTTATTGATGGGAGACAAAAAATGGTCATGCCACAATAATAGTAGGACCATAGAAAAATGTTCTGAAAAAAATGACTAAAAGTGCATTGCCACCTATAAATCTAGAATAAAAGATAAAATTAATTCTAATAATAACATATAAAACATAAATGCACCGATCACTATTAGTATGTTGAAATGAAACACATATTTCAATTATTGCAAGTGAAAGTTTAGGTACAGAATATGTCAATTATTACAGACACATAAAATCAGTAGTTAATGGTATAATTTGCCCATGTTGGACCTTTTGTAGTCTTGTCCAACCCACCTCCAAGGATAGTTATGCTGTGCATCCGTATGTACCATGTATGGTGCATACGGATGCCAAAACGACGTCGTTTTATTAAAAAACGCGCGTCTGCCCTTTTAAAAAAATTCAGGTTCAATTCCCAGCAACAACATTATATTGTTCATTCATTTTGGAATTTAGTTCATAGATTATGGAATTATAGTTCATCGATTATGGAATTGTAGTTCATTGATTCTGAAATTTTAATTTATAGATTATGGAATTTTAGTTCATTCATTCTTGAATTTTTAGTTCATAAATTAGATTATGGAATTATAGTTCATCGATTATGGAATTATAATTCATCAATTATGGAACTTTAGTTCATATGTTGTTGCTGGGAATCGAACCTGATTTTTTTTAAGGGGAGACGCGCGTTTTATTAAAACGACGTCGTTTTTGCATCCGTATGCACCATGCATGATGCATACGGATGCACAGCATAATTTGCCCACCTCCAAAGTTCAATTAAGCTAAAATGAAACCTATGAAAAGGGCTGAAAATGAGGGGGAAAAAACAGAAAAAGAAAAGAAAAAAAAATACATGATTTATCTTGTTTGGGTTTGCACTGCTCTATAGCCTATATAGAGTATAGACATCACAAGTCTAAGACCCTCTTTAGTATAGCTTACTGTTTTTCATTTTTCATCCTTAATTTTCCAAAATTTTCTATATTTTTATTTTTAATTGAAAACTTTAAAAACATTTTCAAATTGAGTTACTTTTCAATTTATAAAATATACAATTATACGAAATTCTATTTATTTTTCATATTAAAATACAAATGTCAATGACCAAAAAAAAATGTCAATGATGGTCGAGATATATATCGCAAATCGTTATATCGTGGACTAGGATCCATCATGAACATTATGAATCCTGCCACCCTGATCCAAATTATGTACCTACAATCAATATAATATGTACATTCACTTTATTTATCTATAATTAACGTATTATGTACCTTCAGTAGGTACATGATCTGTTAAATAAATGTACATAATATATTAACAGATATATAATCTAGACCAAGGTTCACAATGCGTGGAAAATTATTGTATAGACCACGATCCAAAGTGATGTCGTTTTGATGTTTTTTAAAAAATTCCTTGCCCTGTGCGCGTGTTAGAATAATGAACATTTTGGGGTAAGATGTATTTTATGAGTTAGAATAATGTAGTTTACGTGTTAAGAATTTCGATGTATCAAGCTCTGTCGCTTTTAAATAATATGAGATTTCTAAATATACAGCATCAAACTAAATAAATACTCAATTTAAAAAAAAAAAGTTGAGAATTAAATTTAATAATTCATTAGAGAGAATTTTAAAAATATAAGTATCATTATGTATGTTGATGTTGTTTGAAGGAAACAAGGAGATGCTAACAAGTAACAAGTAACAATGCAAATAAAGTTGTGTATTGTTGTTTGTGTTAAAGTCAAAATGGGAAGTAATATTCAAAGGTCAAAAGCTGAATTTGTACTGTTTGATGTCTTTATTATGCTTAAATAGTTACGTTAAATGTGCGGCCATAACATCAACTTATTAAAATAATTTGTACAAATTAAAATAAGAAAAAATAGTAATTTTAATCCCTCAATTATATTAGAATAGTCAACTTAATCCCTTAATTATACATGTAATCTCTTTTAGTCTTAAATTGTTAGTTTGATGGTCATTTTAGTTTTTATCTTAAATAGTTATTAAAATTAACGGTGATAAAATGATATATGTGTATATTTACCAATTTACTCTCAAAACACATATCAAATAAGTAAAAAAAAAAACCAAATTTTAAATAAAAAACATTATATAGTTACTTTGTTTTCTTTGTAAATTTATTTATTTTTAACAAACAAAAATAATTTTATAATGAAATATTTTCAAATGATTAAGGAAGCTAAGAAAAGACATAAAGTGAAAATAAAATGTAATATTTTTAATCAAACAAATTTGATTCCTTTCAAACAAATGTAGTATAATTAAGGGAGGAAGTTGGCTATTTAAAAAAAAAATCACCATTCTAGTTCCTCAATTGTTTCTTAACAATTAATGTAGTCTTTAATTTTTAATTTAAACTAATTCGATCTTCGAATTGTTTAAAATTTTGTAAATTAAATTCTTCCGAGGGATCCAAAATGATGATTTTTTTTTCTATTTTCAAAGTATCTTTAATTCGATTATTGAAGGGTTTAATTGACAAAATTTTAAACAATTCGATGATCAAATTAATTGAAATTGAAAACTAAGAACTACATTAATAGTTAGGAAACAATTGAGGGATAAAAAAAAAAAGAGACTAAATTGGCTATCTAGTATTATGGGGGAACTAAACAATTCTACTGCATACACTCTCAAATTTTACTTCCTAACGTGGGTACCAAGCAAAATGTCGAATGGAATAGAATTTAGAAGTAAAATTTAGGAGTCCACGTAATAATTTCCAAGACTAAAATGGTGATTCTCTAAAAAAAAAAAAAAAGGTGGGTTTAGTTTAGAGTTACCCTAGCGCCAGGAGAGGAGGGAGTGGCAAAGAGAACAGCACAAACAGCTCCCAATGGTGCAATGGTGATAGAAACCCCTTTTGGAGCCAATATTTGGTCAATCTTTCCCAGTATTGCCATTGCTGCGAACGCCCCTGCAACCCAGCCGGCCCATACAAATCAAATGAAATTCAATTCGATTATGCAAAAACAAAAAATTGAATAAATAAAATTAAAAGTGATATGACCTGCAGAAGGCCAGAAGATGTCACTGAGAGAAGGGGCATTTCCCTTGTCAGGCAACCATCCATCCCAAACAGACACTGATGATGAAGATGATGATGCAAATATGGTTACTAAATCCCTTCTCCTCTTTGCCTTTCTTTGTGACCCAATACTAGATTTTCCAACACTCAATCTAAATCTGCAATGCTGCTGCGACACAAATAATAATGGGTTTGGTGGCAAAAGAAATTGAGGATGGAAATTCAGCTGCAATTGCAAACTCCCCATTCCTTAATCTGCGAATTGACCGAATGATGTTGTCCGATGAGAGGACAAAACAGAAAGAAAAATACGGTGGTGGTTTCGGTGGGGGAGAAGGAGTTAGTTGATAGTTGAGGTGACTCTTGAGGACACCGAAAGGGCAGTGATCCCAGGTGAGCTCTGCTCAACCCAATACAATATTGTCCACTCCATCTATCTTTATTATATTCGCAGCAATTGGTTTTTGTTTAGTCGTGCCCACTCTTCATCAATTACAATGGAAGGAATTGCCACATTATAAAAGGACTTGTTACATCATACATGGCGGCTAGCTAGTTTTTTTTTTTTTTTCTTTTTGGGATAAGGGTCAAATAGGCCATCCAACTGCACAGATAATGCAATTAGACCACTGAAATTTGTTACATCATACATGGCGGCTAGCTGGTGTTTGCTTCGAGTTCTACTATACATCTTCTAAATATCCCAATTGTGAATTGAATAGACCATATTTTATCTATTGTAAAATAATGTACATTCAGTACAAAAATAATGTACATTGTATTTAGGAAATGTACATTATTTTTATTCTGAGTATACATTATATTATATAATGTACATTCAATACAAAAATAATATACATTTAATATATTAAAAATGTACTTTTTATTATGATCCACACAATAATTTGCCTAAATCCCATGTTGTTAATGCTAGTCCTTCTGCACCAACGAAGATAAAATAAAAACAAACTTTGTTATCTGTTTTTGTGACGGTCTCTGATCATGACAAATTCCCATGGCCCATATTTGTTTAAAGAAATTGTAGTCATTGTTGGTTTCTATCATGTGACTTTCATTCTTTCACTGAAACAATATAAAGTCATTCTTCTGTCATTTTTTAAATCACCCACTGAGAATTCAAGGTACCATTTACTAACAAAAAATTATTCTCTATTTTTTAAAATTAAAATTGAAAATTTATTTACATATACTTATTTTCAACGCTTTAATATATATATATATATATATATATATATATATATATATATATGTGGAAGGGATCAGGTGCATTTGTTGCTTCCCGTGCGGATGTACGGTAGATTAATGTGCGTGAGGTTTATACTTAATGTGCGTGAGATTTGTACTCAATGTGCCTGAGATTTGTACTTAATGTGTGTCATGTTAATATGCGTGAGTTTTGTACTTAATGTGCCTGAGTATTGTGCTTAATGTGGGTGCGTATTTCAGAATTACGAGCTCAGAAGGAAGCAGAACAGAAACTCACGCACATTAACGCCCAAGCTTCTTGTTACTTCTTCCTTCAATTTGGCAGATTATCAACTACCTTCAGTGCAGTTGAATGTTTATATAAATGACACACGCACAATAAAATTTGCACAGCAACTAAGTGTGGATTTCTGTTGTATTATTCTCATAATTTTTAACCACCATAGCTCGCCTCCGCATCATCATCATCAGGGAGGGGGCAAATGGCTACTAGGGGTGGGGAAGAAGCTGACATCAATATTTTCTGCTACATTTTACACATTGAGGCACATTAAGTAGAAATCTCAGGCATATTAAGCACAACACTCACGCACATTGAATACAAATTTTACGCACATTAATCCACCGCATATCCGCACGGGAACCTTTCACTATATATATATATATATATATATATATATATATATATATATATATATATATATATATATATATATATATACACACTCAAAATACTCCATAATAGTTAATACATTATCAATAACAATTAACAACTTAATTTAATACTAAATATTAATATATAAAAAATAGAGGAAAAGAATATTAAGTGTATTACACTACTGTCAGTTTGCTAGACTCTTACATGACTCAAACCACAGGACTCAAACAGTCATTTCTATCATATTTATTTCAGTGGGCGGCAACATCTTAGCTAGTTAACATCGTGATTTGCCTCAGCGTCGGCAACAGGCAACTGGAGGTCTGGAGCTGTCGACTAGAGTGGAAGTGGCGATGGCGAGGTGGAAGAGGTCATAAGGCAGGCAGGCAATAGTCGCAGAGTTGGAGTTGTAGTCGCAGAGTGTTACGTCGCAGCGTCGGCCGTCGGGAGATGAATCTTGAAGTGCGATAAGCTTCTGAGCTTGCTTTGTGTTGGAGGTGGAAGTGCGAAAGAAGAAAGAAGAAAATAAGGTAGAAAGAAAAAAAAATGACATCGGCCGGATTCGATGGGTGAACTTGGTACTGTTCACCTGTGAATTTTCAGTTTTGAAAACAACTTTAGATTGTATTCCTAATTTCTTGAAAAAAGGAGAATAATTCTCAATTTTGGAAATGAGAAAATATCATGGTAAACACCTAGATTGTTTTCAATTTTCAATTTCCAAAAATGCTTGAAAATTTCCTGTTAGTAAACGCTCTCCAAGTCTCTTATTCCTTCATCCTCAAAAAAAAAAAAAAAAAAAAGTCTCTTATTCCTTCTTTTCTCTTGACATCTAAGCAGTAGTTTAAAGCATTCCAATTATAGATAGGGAGTTAATTAGTGCATGTTACTATAGAGTAGATGTGTAACCTTGGGAAACAACGACATTCTTTATACCTTGCACGTAAATACCGGTGAAAATTTTCTTTTCTAAAAGGCAGTGAACTTTGTTCACACCACAACCTTAATCCTTGTTGCAATATCCTTTTCCCCAACATAACACTCATCACCAACACTTGTTTAGTTCGTGGGAAATAATTGTAGAGGAATACAATTTAAATTTAATAGAAGAAATATTACTAGGAATATTGATTCCATTATTTGATTGGATTTGAAATTGTAAGGAATAATGAGCATAAAGATCAACATACCTCTACAAAATAATAATGATAATAAAAGTAAGGGTGAATCAACGATTTGGTCCCTCAGTTATTTGCGACTTGTCAATGTTGCCCTTCAATTGCGTATTCATCGATTTAGTCCCCGAAAATAATTGTTTTTCGTCAATTTAGTCCCTATGGCCGTATTCCGTCAAGACTCAGGCGAGAGCTCCGATTTGCCCTGGGCATTTTGGTCTTTTCACGCCTTGTTCTTCATTAACTCTGACCAAGCTTCGCCGGAGAAACTCAAGCTCGCCGGAGGGAGCTCCATCAGCTTTAGTCATTTCATGTATTTAGTCTCTTCCATCAGCTTCATCTCTCTCTTTTGCCCTCTTCGTGTGTCAGGAACCATTACTCCTCCCTCCCTCTTTGTCAACAACAGCTAGGCAGTAGCTGCGGTGCACCAACGGCAACACCGGCGGACTTGCGAACTTCTGTTAGCAAAAAACTCCGACGGAACATCAACGGGACCAACAACAGTGTCATCCATCTCCGGTGAACAGAACAACGACTGGGCAGTAGCAGATTAAAGTGGCGACGAGGTTCGGTGGTGGCTCTCCCTCTCATCAATAATGTCGGTTGCGAGCGGGGTGGGAGCTTCGACGGTGGACTTTGGAGTGGCACGGCGGTGGCAGAATAGAGACCTTCATCTCCTTCGTCCCCTATTTCTCCAGCGTGATAGAGGTCAACGGTGGTGGTTCGGTGGTTGTGCTCGGTGGCGGTTTCTGCAACGGCAAACAAGAACAACAGCTACGGGCCGTGGTCCATCCTTCTCGTCTGACCGCAACGAGGAGCAGCAAGTCAGCAGCGACGAACCTTCCCTCCGGCGAGCTTGAGCTTCTCCGGCGAAGCTTGGTCAGAGTTAATGAAGAAGAAGGCGTGAAAAGACCAAAATGCCCAGGGCAAATCGGAGCTCTCGCCTGAGTCTTGACGGAATACGGCCATAGGGATTAAATTGACGAAAAACAATTATTTTCGGGGACTAAATCAATGAATACGCGATTGAGGGGCAACATTGACAAATCGCAAATAATTGAGGGACCAAATCGTTGATTCACCCTAAAAGTAATTGTCATTTACAATGATGTGTTAGGCAAGTGTCGGTCCCCTATCATCATCTTTCATAATTTGTTTTCTTCTCATTGGACCCCCTACCCTAACAAAATGTTTGTCACCCATATTAATGGCTCATTCTCTAAATTATGATTGTATCTATAATTTACCATTTAGTTATGAATGAAGTAGCGTGTTTAGTCCCGACATTAAGTATTTGTCTCAACTTGACAAAAAACTCAAAAACCCTCTGAGGTCGTTTGGTTCACGGAATGTCAGATTACCTTAGGGAATGTTAGATTGCTGGGAATGTTAGATTCCTGTGTTTGGTTAAAATTGGGGTATGTAATATAATCATGTTTGGTAGGGTTATCTTTTATTCACACACTATAATATCCTTAACATATTTTCATATATTTTAATAAATTTTAAAATTAAAATAAATAAATAAGATAACGGTATCATATATAATTACATGATTTTAAAATATTAACTAAAATATTGAACTTGAGAAACAAAATTATTTTATATACTAACCTAGCATAAATATCCCATGGTGATATTATGATATCAAAATATACGATTGAGAAAATAACACTTTTCCTCCTGAGTTATATGCTTATAACACTTTTTTCCATGAATTATTCATGTACTCACATTTGTCCCCTCAGTAATGCTACAACTTATACGTCACATATTGAGACCAGGACAATCTGAAATAACAATGCAATAGTATGTAATGAACCTTGAGAGCAACAGAATGTAAAAGGAAGAGCAGAACAGAACTGCTAGGGGAAGAAGAAGAAATTCTGAGAGTGTAGGGAGAGAAGTGAGAGAAAAGATATTTCAATTGATTAATATCCAAGCATAAAAACCTCCAGTACAATATTTCCTATTTATCCTAAGAAGAAGAAAATATCTAATACTCTGTAACAACTAACAATTCCACAACAAACTACAGCCTAAGGAGTAAAACGGCGTTACATAGTATTCATTCACATCATTCATGTGCTAAAATATTCTGATTGTTGAGACTTGAGAACCGTAATGCAAGCAATTAAGCAAGCAAATGTCAGCATCAGTAAGAACAATTGGTTTTACCTTTCCACAAACATAAACCCTTCCTTTGTAATTTTGAAGACGACCTTTTGAAGAGTTGAATCATGGTGAAAATCGGTACCTAGTCGTCTCTGGGGATAATTGATTCTTTTCCATAATTCAGCTCAACTGGATGAGAAGTGTTGCTGCAGAAAGGAGAAACATTTATAAATTTTGATAAAGAAAAAACTTAACTGATGAATGTTAGATCGGATAAATTGACCCATTTGTTGTTACAACCATAAATGCCAAACACTTACCTTTGCATAACCTTAAACATCCCTGTGCCCATCTGCATTGGAATGCCCATAATGATGCATTCACCGACTCCTTCAATTTTGTCATCCCGCCCACTTACAGAAGCATTGAAAAGGTGATCAGCAGTCTTCTCAAAGGAAGCTAAAGTCAATACACTGTCTTTCATCTTCTGCATACCAAATCTAGTAATTCCTAATACTTCACCCTGAATGAATTGCAAGAACCTTTTGTTATGTTAAGCTGGATAAACACTGAAAAGTATGCAAGTTTCTGGTATCACTACCTTAAAAGTCATTAGATCTGCTAGAAGCATCATGTGACGTAAATCTATAGTCATTCCATGTTTTGACATGGTTTTCCTAATCTCATGAATTATACAACTTCTTGCGGCTTCAATTCCAAGTACTTGATTCACTTCCATGATGTGATTGCTTGTTGTATTACGTCCATCAACTCCAGCTGTGCCCATAACAGCTAGAAGACCAGTCCTACAAAACATGACTAAATATTAGGGGAAACTAACTTTTATCATGACAAGTAACATTCATATTAGTGGCCATACCCTTCCACAGGCAATTTGTAGTTTCCCTTTTTGCCTTTCTTGATCACAGCACATTCAACAGTGTTGATACCCTGGCGAGGAAAACAAAATAACTGTTGTGAATCCACACAATTGAGCAGATCAAGAAACCAGTCACTATAAAATAAAAATTTATTAAAATTCAAATTGTGCCATTGAATTAATTACCTACCTTCACAACAACCCCGGGAAGCTTATTTTTGAGACGGTGGAGTTCAAAATGAAGTTTACTTCGATCAGCATGAGGGATAACTTCCAGCTTTCTACGATCTAAAACCCTGATGTGCTGAAGGAAAACGCATATTTTAACGTTGAGCTGTCACAAGATGAATAGAAGAAACTTAAATGAATTCAAGCAAATCCTTCCTACCTGTTCCTTCAACTTCAATTTTTTAGTCTGCAAAATTGATTCCTTAACAATATAAGCATCTATGGAAAGATATGAAGTTTGAATTGCTTCCATATCAAGCACTATAACTATGGATGCTACTCTCGCAGCCATCACTATCTCAATACCCTTGGCAACCTACAAAGGAAAATCAGCTTAGTAATAACCAACATACTAGCTAGTTATTATTATTTAAAAGATGGAGAATAAGATGACTACCTGACCAAGAAGAGTTTTTTCAATACGACCCTTTACCATTCTAGCAAAAGCTAGATCATCATCACATGAAAGTTTTGCTTTAATAAACGGTGTGCTGATCCTTTTGGCTCCATTTATAATTTCTTTTAAGCGAGGAACACCAAGTGTAACATCTGAAAAGGTGTTAAAGAAACATTCTAAAGAAAAAAAAAATACAATCATGACTACTAATAACGATTCAGTTGGCCAAGAAACCAACTAAATTGGAGCAAAACCCAACACCAATCGAAACAAGGATACTCATGCTTGCAACACCAGCAAAGTGGAAAGTTTTTAATGTCATCTGCGTCCCTGGTTCTCCAATGCTCTGAGCTCCTATTGCACCGATTGAAGTTCCGTCTTCTAATTTCTTTGCATGATAACGAGAGATGCAGATCTCTAGGAAAACCTATGGCATTGGAAACACATCAAGCTGTTTTTGAGAATCAGGGCATATTACATCATAGCAACACATAATTATATTATGTACATCACCTAGCTAGGCAAAAAATCTACAACCACATGGAATTTATGTTTGAAGTATGAAAGCAACTTTGACAAATCTAAAGGATAAGATCATCATTCAACTTCAAATGCATTAAAGCTAGGGGCTATCTTTGAAAATATATAATACACATTATGCTAACTGTTAAGAGTCCGACATTGATAAAATAAGAGAGAACATATGGGTTCATAAGGCCATGGGTTAGACTAGCTAATTGGTTGGATTCAATCTTTTAGTATGATTTGGCTCATGTGCATTATAGCCCAGTTGAGTGACTCAAGCCCAATCTTAGTTTATAACACTAACAAACATGGTATATTGGTGAAAAATATACCTGTAGTTGCTTTCTTGTTACACCTGATATATTTAAAGCGATACTTTCAAGAGCATCAAGATCCTCCCCTGCATTATGTTCCCCATCAAGTTTCAGATCTTTCCGTGTTTTCTCTAAGCTTGCTACACAGTTGTTTTCAATGAATTGTTTTAATGATTCGCAGAAGGCCTTTGAGCACCCCCCATCTGGAGTCATATCATGTTCTGAAAGCCTTCTATGCACCACCTGTTGGATTTCTGATGATGACAGACTCTTTTCCTCTCCAGGAGGACATGTTGCCTGTCAAAATAAATGAATCAAGATTGCACTCAACCTGGAAATATATGTAATTGAGAAGAGATCATAAAATTTGAAGCTTCTACCTTAACTTTCATAAATAATCTATTAAAGTTCAGAGGATGCCCTTTTTTCTCTTCCATCTGTGCAGGGTCCATACCATCATCACCATACTCAAATTGCACTATGCATGAACTTGCATTTCTCACGGTTCTGTCGTACAAAATTGAAAGATCCTCCAGAGCCTTCATAAGCCTCCGAGACATATACCCTGTGTCAGCAGTTTTAACCTGTATAAATAAGAAAGTTTGAAAATGATTAAATATTGGTCTAGATGTTTAGTGGGGTAAAACATAATCTGTAATTTTTTTTTTTAAATGAAATTAATACAAATTAGCATCATTAACTACTGAAATAAGACAAAGATTAAAAGCATTACCGCTGTGTCTACAAGGCCTTCTCTTCCACCCATAGTGTGGAAAAAAAACTCAGTAGCACTTAAACCATCATAAAATGAACTGGCGACAAATCCTTTAGCCTGCATTTACAATCATATGGATAAAATTGATGTTAGACTATACATTGTTACGTACATTCAGCTTAATCTTCACATAACAAAAAGAAAGATAAACATGATCAAATCAAATAATTTAGGAGGGTTTGAAGCCTATTCAGTGTTTCCATTTAAATAAACTAAATTCTCAGTCTAGTTAAACTAGTACCAGAATTATGATTTGACAGTCTACCATTTAGAAAGCCAATATAACATTTTAAAAAAACATAAAGAACTTACAGCTGGAAATTTTGATTTTGTAGGAAAATGAGGAAGACTCCGGTCAATGAATCCATTTGGAGCACGACAACCCCCAACAGATTGCTGGCCGACACATGCAATCATCTGACTAATATTGAGATCTGAGCCTTTTGAACCACATTGATACATAATTAAGGGGCTATTCCTCCAATGTAGTGTATCAGTACACACCTGCACAAAAAGGGTTAAAAAGGCTACTATACCTATTTCCTCATAACACAAGCAAACTCAGAAAACATATACACACTATTTGGCTTATAGAGTCTTTGCCTTTTAAAAGGTTGAACTTTTAGAATAGAGAGAAGCAGCGCCAAATTACCAGTTGCCCAACCTCAAATTTGAGAAATTATATTTAATATTTTGAAATTTTAATTACAAAATTAGAAAATATTAGTGTATTTAGTAAACGGAAATATTAACACACATGATAACAATAAGTCTGACAAGCTAGACCTAAATTTATGTTATTTTTCAATTGCCATAACTTTAGGCTCAATTTAATAGTGATGTAATATTTTCAGATCAGATAATAATGTAATTAATCTTCTAGATGCAAGTATACAACTATATTGTGTACTAGATACCCAAAAGGTTCCATTGAAATACCCTAGCTGTTACTGTACCTATCAATAGGATCTGAAGTTCTAAATAGCAAATTATGTTGTCATTAAATGGACACAGATCTAACTGGGAAAAGCTGAGTCTAAAACTTTGAAATGTTATCCAGGTGACTAAAGGTTAAACCAGAAAGCTAAAGGAAAAATAATGCCATGTTAATGGCAGGATCAGTAGCTATGAAATAGTTATAATATAACTTATAAATGGCCACTGTGCATTCCCTTTCTTTCTACAGTAGTTAGGATGAGGATGGTTCCATCAAAGCACAGACAAAATGATTGCAAAAAGATCTTACTCGCCCAGTTTTCACTCGGATACCATTCAGTTCCTTTGTTATATTGGCTTCAAGTGTCTGTGCAGCATCACAGCCAGGTTGAAGCTCAAGTTCCCCCTTGTTAAATGAAGCTATATACGTTTCACATGTCCCATACCCCTTCTCTATTTCCATTGTCTTCTTTTCAACTAACTCCTTTCTTGGTTGGACATCATCGATGCCAATTGAAAATCCATGATTCCCTATCCAACGAGCACTGTCATAATGCAACAGCAGGAATTGTGCGAAGATAAATAACCTTTTCAGTTAACTGAATATAGCAAGATATAATGAAATCAGAGTAACGATTGAACAAGTACCATTAAAAAAAACTACTTAACACAAAATGCATATCAAACTCTATCCAACCATCATTAAGCTTATACCATGAAGAGTGTTATAGAATATTCTGTGTGATTGAGTATCCTATATTTTAGGAAACTAAAATATTAGCATACCATATCAGTTTAGATCCAGCTTGTATTTAAGGGGTAGTTGACTAACCCTAAAGATATAGAGAAACAGGAAGGACTCTCCAGAGGTATTCTCCTCTCTCCAGTATTCTAACATGGTATCGAGCCAGTAGAATAGAGTGTTTTTTTTTCGGCGTCTCCGATCGTCACCGCCGGTCCAGGGTCTCTCGCCGTCGTCCGGCGACCTCGCCTGGAAAGTTTCCCGGCGATCTGACCTGCGCGTGAGCCTCACGCGCCACCGCTGTCCGCTGCTTCCGTCCACACGCGCCGGCACGTGCGCCGTCTCCGGCGATCGGAAATCTTTCCGGTCGGTCTTCCCAGGGTCGCCTGAGTTTGGGGGTCTCGGTTCCGGGCTCAGTTTGGACCAGTTTCGCATCGGTATTTTCGGTTCTAAGGTCAGGTTGTTTCGTAACCCTTCGGCCCAGTTTTTTGCGTGATTTGTGATCTGTTTGGGGTCAAATATTTGTGGGAATGGCTGAGAATAGGTCTGTGGTTGTCACTGATATAGTTCCTGTTAGTTCTAAAATCACGGATTGTAAGCTTAATGACTCTAATTACTTGGAATGGATTCATGTCGTTAAACTTTATCTTACTAGTTTGGATAAGAGTGACCACCTGTCCAAACCTTTGGCTAACCAAGATGCTACTTTGGTACGAGATGATGCCCGTTTGTTCCTACAAATCCATAATTCCATTGATGAGGGTATTGTTGGGTTCATTAGTCATTGTGCCTCTGTTAAGGAGTTGATGGAGTATTTGGAATACTTGTACGCTGGGAAGGGGAATGTCACTCGTGTTTATGATGTTTGCAAGTCTTTTTTCCGTACTGAAAAACGTGATTTGTCTCTCCCTGCATACTTTATGGAATTTAAGAAGACTTATGAGGCACTTAATCAACTTATGCCATTCACTGCTGACATTAAAGAGCAGCAAACCCAACGTGAACATTTGGCTGTTCTGAGTTTTTTGGCAGGTCTCCCTTCTGAGTATGACACGGCGAGGTCTGCAATTTTTAGTAGCTCTGCAATCCCTTCTCTTGCTGATATTTTTCCCCGTCTAAGTCGATCGATGCAATCGCAACCAAATATGCCTGAGGCTGCCATCCCATCAAATAATGCTCTTGTTGGCCGTCATCCTCGCAGTGGGAATGGAAAAAATTCTCAGGGATACGCTTCTGGTGGTATTGTGTGTCATTATTGCCATAAGCCTGGACACATAAAAAGGGACTATCGGAGATGGTTGAGGGAATGAGGAAATCCAACTGGTAATGTTGCATCCACAACTGAGGCATCTTCCAAGATGGTCACTGTATCTGCTGATGAGTTTGCCGAGTTCTCTCAGTATCGAGAATCTTTAAAGCGTTCATCCTCCTCTTCAGTCACTGCTATTGCTGACTCAGGTAATGCAACTACGTGCCTTCTCTCATCCTCCTCCAAGTGGGTTATAGACTCGGGTGCCACGGATCATATGACAGGTAACTCTAGTTTGTTTTCCACGCTTTCTTCTCGCCCACATAGTTCCCCCGTCACTTTAGCAGATGGTTCTACCTCCCATGTTCTTGGGTCCGGTACCATTACGCTCATCCCCTCGCTCCCCTTGTCCTCTGTCTTGCATCTACCCAACTTTTCGTTCAACTTAATTTCAGTCAGTCAGCTTACCCGTGATTTAAACTGTTCTGTTACGTTTTTCCTTGATTATTGTCTGTTTCAGGATCTTTTGACGAAGAGGGTTATTGGTAAGGGGCGCGAGTCTGGGGGCCTCTATATTCTTGACACCACGAGGCGAGAGCTTATTGCTTGTTCAGGTGCTGTCACTCCAGTAGAAGCTCATTGTCGTTTGGGGCATCCTTCCCTTCCCTTGTTGAAGAAATTGTGTCCGCAGTTTTCAAGTTTGTCTTCTTTACATTGTGAGTCGTGTCAGTTGTCCAAGCACCATCGTGTGCCTTTGAGTCCTAGAGTTTACAAACGAGCGTCTGCTCCTTTTGAGTTAGTGCATTCTGATATTTGGCGTCCGTGTTCTGTGACCTCTAAACTTGGTTTTAAGTATTTTGTTACGTTTGTTGATGATTTTTCCCGAATAACATGGTTATATCTAATGAAGTCTCGTTCTGAACTTTTTGAGGTGTTTTGTGGATTCTGTGTTGAAATTGAGACTCAATTTGGTGTTCCTGTCAAAGTTTTACGTAGTGACAATGCAAAAGAATATTTTTCGTTCCCCTTTGTCTCTTATATGCGTAAGAAGGGTATGTTACATCAGTCCTCTTGTGTTGATACACCTTCCCAAAATGGGGTCGCTGAACGAAAAAATCGGCATCTGCTTGAAACTGCAAGGGCCTTGATGTTTCAAATGGGGGTTCCCAAGCAGTTTTGGGGTGATGCCGTTTCCACAGCTTGTTTCTTGATCAATCGAATGCCCTCTGCGGTCTTGGGTGGGAAAACACCTTTCCATACTCTGTATCCTTCAAAGCCTATGTTCCATATTGACCCGCGTATATTTGGCTGCGTGTGCTTTGTTCGGGATGTCCGTCCCCATGTCACCAAGTTAGATCCCAAGTCTTTGAAGTGTGTGTTTCTTGGATATTCCCGTGTGCAAAAAGGGTATAGGTGTTACTCTCCTGAGCTTGGTAGGTACCTTGTTTCCATTGATGTTGCCTTTCATGAGGACGTCCCATTCTTTCCTTCATCCCCAGATGCTGTTCGTAAGGGGGAGGAGGATGATATATTGATGTATACGGTAACGTCTTCTGTTCCTTCCCTGTTCCTACCCCTCCTGTCTTACAAGTGTATTCTCGTCGACCTCGACCTGACGCACTCGTACCGGCACCGCCTCCCATTCCAAACTCAGTACCGACTCCGTGCCCTGACACCACCTCTGTGTCATCAAATCCAGTCTTACTTGATGAACGTTCGATTGCCACCCGGAAAGGTAAACGTACCTGTACTTATCCTATATCCTCTGTTGCATCATATGATAGGCTGTCACCTGCCTCGTGTTCTTTTATTGCTTCCCTTGATTCTATTTCCATTCCTAAGACTGTTAGGGACGCCTTGTCCCATCCTGGGTGGCGAAATGCCATGGTTGAGGAGATGAACGCTTTGGATCACAATGGTACTTGGGAGTTGGTCACTATGCCTGCGGGTAAAAGATCTATTGGTTGTAAATGGGTGTTTACTGTCAAAGTTAATTCTGATGGGTCTGTGGCTCGATTGAAGGCTCGTCTTGTGGCTAAGGGATATGCCCAAACTTATGGAGTTGATTATTCTGACACTTTTTCTCCTGTGGCTAAGCTTACTTCTGTCAGGTTACTCATCTCAATGGCTGCCATTCATGATTGGCCTTTGCATCAGCTTGATATCAAGAACGTCTTTTTGCATGGGGATCTTCATGAAGAGGTATACATGGAGCAACCTCCTGGGTTTGTTGCTCAGGGGGAGTCTGGGAAAGTATGTCGTCTTCGGCGATCGTTGTATGGGCTGAAACAAAGTCCACGTGCATGGTTTGGAAAATTTAGTCAAGTTGTTGAGAATTTTGGAATGGTGAAAGGCAAATCGGATCATTCCATGTTCTACAAGTGGTCCAAAACAGGTATCATCTGGTTGGTGGTTTACGTAGATGACATTGTCATTACAGGGAGCGACACCGAAGGGATTTTGTCTCTCAAGTCATTTCTTCACAGTCAATTCCAAACAAAACATTTGGGACCACTGAAGTATTTCCTGGGTATCGAAGTTATGAGGAACAAAACAGGTATATTACTCTCCCAACGAAAATATGTTATTGACTTACTCTCTGAAACGGGAAAACTAGGTACTAAGCCATGCAATACTCCCATGATACCGAACTTGCAATTGTCAAAGGAGGGGGAATTGTTTGAAGATCCTGAGAGGTATAGGAGATTGGTTGGGAAGCTAAACTACTTGACCGTAACCCGTCCAGATATTGCATACCCAGTTAGCGTTTTGAGTCAGTACATGTCATCTCCAACTATTGATCACTGGACAGCTGTAGAGCACATCTTGAATTACTTAAAGGGAACCCCGGGACACGGAATCTTGTATAAGAATCACGGTCACACTCGGATTGAGTGTTTTACTGATGCGGATTGGGCAGGTTCCAAAGAGGATCGTAGATCAACAACTGGATATTGTGTTTTCTTTGGAGATAATCTGGTTTCCTGGAAGAGTAAGAAGCAGAATGTAGTCTCTCGTTCGAGTGCAGAGTCTGAATATAGAGCGATGGCACAATCGACGAGTGAAGTAATGTGGATACACAACCTTTTGTATGAGTCTGGTTTCAAAGCTCCAATTCCTGCAAAGCTATGGTGTGATAACCAAGCTGCTCTTCATATTGCATCCAACCCGGTGTTCCATGAACGAACTAAGCACATAGAGATTGACTGTCATTTTGTACGTGAGAAGATACAACAAGGGTTAATCTCCACAGGATTTGTGAAGACAGGAGAACAACTCGGAGACTTATTCACGAAGGCCCTTACTGGAACCCGAGTCAGTTATTTGTGTAACAAGTTGGGCACGATCAATGTCTTTGCTCCAACTTGAGGGGGAGTGTTATAGAATATTCTGTGTGATTGAGTATCCTATATTTTAGGAAACTAAAATATTAGCATACCATATCAGTTTAGATCCAGCTTGTATTTAAGGGGTAGTTGACTAACCCTAAAGAGATAGAGAAACAGGAAGGACTCTCCAGAGGTATTCTCCTCTCTCCAGTATTCTAACAAAGAGAAACTTCAGGCATAGCCCAGGTCTCATATCAATACTTTCTTAATTTCAGGCATCCTGAAAAAGAGTTTGCTCTAGTTTGGGAAAAGTAACTACTCTTTTTACCTTAATTATTATCGAACTTAAATACTAACATGAAATGAAATAGTTGGTGATAACCGCAAAACTGTTTCAGTGAGAAACAACTATTTAGTGTGCTCAAATGTACAATAGCAAAGATAAGAATATGGAGTAATTAGACAGGTTACGACCAAATGACAAAAAACTATATAGAGTTGTGAGTTGACCTTTATCACGACTTAAACAACTTTAATTGAATACATTTAATGACCATTTGACTAAAAGCAACCGATTGAAGGTGACAGTTATACCATCTGGTGGTTTAGCAGAAGAAAAAATGGTTCAAATACATGGGCGGATCCAGAAATATTTTCCAGTGGGGGTATGCCAAAAATGTAACTATGTTGAAGCAAGGATTCGAACCCAGACCATTTCTAAACTCAAACACATATCTTACCATCTAATCTAACCAATCTTTTGTATATACTATAATATACATATATATAGAGTAAATGCCACCTATGGTCCCTCGGGTTTGGTGGTTTCACCACCAATAGTCCCTAACTTCCGTAATTACCATCCGTCATCCTCCGAGTCGCGAAAAGTGACCTGCAACCATCCTTCGTTACTTCCTTCCGTCTCAGACGTCAAAAGTGAGGGTATTAACTTTTGACGCCTGAGACGGAAGGAAGGTAGCAGGTCACTTTTTGCGACTCGGAGGATGACGGATGGTAATTACGAAAGTTAGAGACTATTGGCGGTGAAACCACCAAACTCAAGGGACCATAGGTGGTATTTACACCATATATATATATATATATATATATATATATATATATATATATATATATATATATAAGGGCTATATATAGGGTAGGGGTGGTGGGAGGGGGGCAGCTGCCCCCACTGTAGCTCCGCCCCTGTTCAAATAAATATACTTAAGTAATGCAGGGGCCAAATAAATACGGATGAGCATAAGAATCCAACACTATGTGTTAAAGCAAGTTTGGTGGACTACAAAAGAATGAAACAACACAAATATAGAATGAAAAATGTGTGACAAAACTTGCAATTGAGAAAAAAGAAAAAATGTGAAGTGCATAGGAAACAAATCTCATCAAAAGGACATGTATAGATGTGCAAATATGCAAGGAAAATGCTGAGAAGCTGTTAGAAATGCCATAAACATACCTCAACTTTGCAAGCCGATTCATACATATTGCAGCACCATGTGCGTTATAGTCCCTTAGCAGCACAGAATAAAGTCCATCCTTGTTTCCATTTCCTATTGCCCATTTCACAAAATACACATTCATAGTTTAAGTTAATTTTTTCCCTATTTAACAACAACAAGAATAATGAACATTTCAATGACAACCTTCTCGATATTGTTAACATAAATGGTCTATGAAACATTAAGACTAATTCTCATTTTTATTTTTCATAAACACAATAAGCTGGTGCTTACAGCACTGACCACAATTATGCAATGGGCTTTACCTATGACTTACCTCCTTACTTCAACATGAAGTAAAAAGTAAAATGGTGACATACGAAATTTCAAACCAACATACTTGTGGTCAACATCTGCCATATTTAGATAATTATCCAGTATCTAGATAGCATTTCCTATAAATCATGATGTGTGAGTAGAACTTTTAGAGCTTGAGAATTAGGAAACAAAATACAGTTGCATTGGGATAAAATAGAGAACAAACAAATGTGAATCTGTAGTAATCACAATACAAATTATTATTTAGAATAAAATTTTCAATAGCCATGCATAAAATTACTTGATTTTAAAAAATTGTTAAGTCAGATAAAGAAAAAATCAAGATCAGTAGAAACTATTTATACAGAACAACAAATAACTTCATGTTAAAAACAACATTACATATATATATATAAAGGGATGAAGAGAAGATGAAGAAGATGTATTGGCGTTGAAGATAAAACAATACTTGGTGAAACTATAAGCTTCCAGTGGAAGAAGAAAAAATATAAATGAGCAATATTCAATATCATATACAGTAATGAATACAAACTTGAATGCAGGGAAAAAAAAATACTCCGTAGAAAGTAAAAAAGGACACCATTAACCCAAAAAAGTAATATAAGACTAGTATAGAATAAAATTTAAATGATGAATAAAAATTGGAAATTCACCTAGTGTGGCCTTTCCAAGTTGCCCACTTATCAGCTCACTGTTGCGGAAGTAAACAAACCCATCACTTGGGCACATTGTCTCTAGACCTTTTTTGTCGTGGTAACTCTTCTCCTGAAGAGTAAGGTTTACGTAGACTCTCATTTTACTATATGGACGTAGAAGCACACCAAATAACTGTTTTCCAGTCCAAAGCTCAACTGGCTGCAAAAGCAACAAAACAAATTTTATTGTATCTTTTTTCTAAATTTGAAAACAAATTAACTCCTAAGAATGGGATAAGGAAGAGAGCAATAATATAGAAATGCATTTCATTCTAGAAACTTGATCAAACAAGAACTATGGAGTTCATGAACCAACCTTAATTAAAGCTGGAGTTGGCAAATCAATGTGATCCATCGCATCGCCCATGTATGAACACATAAGTGAAAACGAAGCACGATCGTAAAATGTGTCCTTCCTTGTAATGAGAAAGGAAGATGTTAGAAAATCCTGTGTAGAAGCAACCAAGATTTCTCCATTCTTTGGGGTGCATAAATTGTTTTGGACCTGCATTACCATCAGCAGTATGTTAAAACAATGGCAGAGTATTAGGAGATAATGTTGCCATATTTAACAATTTTCCTGTTGGTCTATTTCACACACACATTGAAGAGTGACATATATAACTAGTTTTATGATCTCATGCTGATTAAAATAACATTTAAAGCAGTATTGGAAATTGGAATCCAAAAATATATTGGATATAAAGGTTATGAGTTTATCCAAATGAAGGAAATTGAACAGTTCACAAAATACTTGGCAAATAAAACACAAACAAGAAAAACTTAGGACAAAGAACAAATCAACTCTTGACATAAGGTATTGAAACCATTGCAATATTAGCCAGGGCTGAGAAAAGGAGACTGAAACTATTTGATAAAACAGCGGACACCAAAATTATATATCTGTAGCCACATAAGAATGTACTGAACACTGATTGACTAAACATTTTACCCCCATCAACAAAAGAGCCTCTGTGCGCGCCTCTACTGTTTGTGGTACATGCATATTCATCTCATCACCATCAAAATCAGCGTTGTAGGGATTGCAAACAGATTCATTAAATCTCAATGTGCGCCATGGCATAATCCTTGCCTACACCCAAAGAAAATGTTAATATCAACATAATTAGACACAAAAAACAGTTTTCAAAAAAAAAAAAAAAAAAAAAAAAAAAAAGACACTAAAAACAATTTTTTGAGTAATCAGTCACCCGATGGCACATGATAGACATTCGATGTAAACTTGGTTGTCTATTAAATAGAACAGCATCTCCATCTTCCAAATGACGATCAACTATGTAGCCATATTTCAATTCATCAGCATGACGCTTTCTACTAGAGTACATTAACGAACTGCAAAATTGCAAATGAACCAAAAAAATTTAAAAATCATCATATACAAATAGTATTGAGAAGAAATTGGAATTTACAATCCTACTTACATCTCGGTACCATCAGGATGCTTGATATACTTCGCACCAGGGTATTTGTTGGGCCCATTGCGAACACATTGCCTCAACTTCTCTATGTTGTGTCGTGAAACACGCTCAGGAAATGTTAAAATTCGAGCCATTAAGATAGGAATTGCTACCTGCAAATTATATCATCATTTTCTGTTTCTTTGTTGAACAGAGTGGTAAAACCATGGTAAAACACAATACCTCAGTGATTTTAAGATTTGGATCGGGTGAAATAACAGTGCGTCCAGTATATTCAACACGCTTGCCTGACAGATTTCCACGGAAACGACCTTGCTTTCCTTTGAGGCGCTGAACAAAGCCACTTAGTGGCCTGGAAGCTTGCATTTGTGGTGGCAATCCACGTACATCACTATTTATGTACTGTGCAACTTCCATTTGGAGATCAACCCAGCTAGCCTGAGACAATTTTAAAACATAAATAGGGCTAAAGGAGCAAAAGCCTCCAATTCAAGAAAACCACAGAATATCAGCACAGTGCAAACCATAATGGAGCACAAAACGTATTAGACATTACCATGTCAAATATAAACTTCTATAGATGGCAATTGTTTTAAAGGGAAGAAAATATTTAATTAACCACAAGAATTCTCAAATCTCAGTGAAGACATAATAAAGGCATCTACTTCTGATGTTTAAATTTTTTAAATAGGTTACACATGTTGGCACAACACGAGAGTATCTAAAATGCATAAATACAGTGACAACATGAAAGCTGAAAATAAAATAAATTTAACAAAAGTAGAGAAAATGTCATATTAAAACTTAAGAAAATCTTAGATAACTTAAGAAAACCAAGGGAATCACATTCCCTCAAGAGAAGGGAAAAGGCTGATGTGGTAGGCATATCAGATTCCCTTGGATTATCACATAACATGAACCAAACAACACCTGGTATGTAACATCCCAACATAACATTACCTTGGTAATCTCAAATTACCTTAACCAAATGCCCCCTAAAAGATCAGAAAACATGGACTAGCAGATCCATTAACTAAAACGTCATACTCTGATTTAACTACTGAAACTATATAGGAGTACACCAGTCCAACATGAGCACATTGTATACAATTTTTTTCTTTTAGATTTAAGTATCTTATTTACACCAACTCACCAAGATGGTGCTACAAGTGCTTTATACAAAGGTCAAATCTGAGAGAAGCTTCTACAGTCCAATAAATCCCATATTGCCTACATGCATGTCTCTGAATCAAAAATAAAATAATATATTCAACTATACTCCAATGTTTGCACTGGAGTCAATAACCCTTTAAACACCATCTGTTACTCTCCTCACTAACAGTCCCATATGGTTAGAAGGACAGTCAGGGGCAGAGCTACCGCGGGGGCAGCGCACCCCCCCTCCCCACCCCACCCCATATATAACCCTAGTAATTACATGTTTGGGTATAAGTATAAAATATAGATAAATATAAAGAAAAGATGAGGTGGTAAGTTGGTAAGGCATGCATCTAATTTGTTGGAGGTCTAGGGTTTGAACCCACACTTATTAACTATTTTATTTTTCACCCATATCCAACAATGATCATTTTTTAGATATATTTTTTCACCATATCCAACAATTATTGTTTTTTTAAAATATACTAATAATGAGATGTGTGATTTATAATGTGCTTTATATTCGAATCATTTTATTAAAGTAATTATGTTTCATATTTTGTTATGATTATTTTTATTAAGTTTTGATGTATTTTATTTTTCGTCCATATCCAACAATATTTATAACTATGCTTCCGATGCGTTTTATTTATTTTTTTAAATCTATCTCTTTTGTTTTAATATTTGCCCCCACTGAAAATTTTCTGGCCTCGCCCCTGAGGACATTGTCCAAAGTCTTTCATTTGCTTATGAATTTCTCAAATTTACACAAAGAATGCAGTGATTGCAGTCCATTAACTCAATCCATATTAAATATAAAATGATACAAAATATCCATGGTCTCACAATATGCTTGAAAAGATAGTTGAGAGATTCATCTACTAAAATGTAGCAAAGATTCTCTTGTTCTAGTACACCTACTGTGAGAATATGAGAAGAGCTCATCAAAATAATATCATACCAGACTTCTAGCTGGAAGAGTTGTATCGGAAATTTCTTGTCGAAGACTTGAATTTGCTTGGATAATGCGCTTCAGCCTCTCTGTGATGTCATTCTCATTACTGCAACAAAAATACCCAGGATCTCAACTAACTATGTAATGTGAAGGAATAAAATCTAGTATAGCAATAGCACATTTGAGCCAGACATACCTCTGCATTCCACCATCCACAAAGACTGAAGGGCGTATTGCTATTGGTGGCACAGGGATACTTGTGACAAGGAGTTTTTCTGGTTTGTCACTAAGGTAAAGCAACTCACAGTCCTGCACATCACATGGAAATAGGAGGAATTAGAATGTGCAAACAAAGAGGAAGAGCCTACAGACATAATACTAACTGTGACCTAAATCAAATGTCCAATGTTATTTTATTTTTATGTGATAAGTTCATGTCAGAATTCAAATTCTGAAACGTAGTTTAAATTAGCTGTTGCTTAACCATGTGTAAGAAATTGCTGATCCACACTTCATTTTCATTTAATGGATTGATAAGTGTAAAGGCCTAAAGGGTGTTCACTGTTCAGGAAAGGGAAATACACGCTAGAGCTTAACCTTAAAGGCAAGAAATTTCTGGTCCACACTTAAAAATCTTCTAAAGGATTGAAAACAAGGAAGGGTAACACCAGCAAACTCAAACTTTTGTCTTACAACTTCAGTGTAATCAAATGTTAAACTTTATTTCGCAAACTATTTTGGAACAAACCGAACAGAAAACAAGGTTATTTAACTCAAGAGAAGGTAGAAGTAAATTATTGTATAGCAATCTAGATTGGAGGCATTTTTGTGAAAATTTACTTTAAAAAATACAAAAGAAACAAGTAAATGCCTATCTAACCAATTTATTCAGATGAAATTTTTAATATTAAATTACTAAACTCGATTCAAGCCATGTATCGCTAGGGAGAAAAAATAACCATATTTCTCTACTTAATATCATCAATGGCCATATTTACTATTAAGTCACAATATTGGTCTTTTTCTTCACTGGCCTCTAACATTACTATGAATTATTTTACCACACCCAACTAGAGTGTCAATTGGCCATCATTATGTATGTCCCTACGATTACTTGGCCCATCTACTCTATAATTTTGAATGCAACCAGATCTATCAAGAGCAACCCTCAACTAGAGATCTGACCATACTTTTGACTGGCTATTTGCAACCCATAATGCAGCTTCAATTTTTATGCAGGAATAAAGTCTTAAATTTCATTTTCATGTTATAATTTCATAGTTGTACTATCATATAACAGTTTTGAGCACATGCTTCATTAAGGTATTATATTATTATCATCTTTTGCCATATTAGACCAACACTCAGCATAGTGTTTTTTATAAATACTTTCTTTTGAAGGTCAAAAGGGAGATTTTGATCATTGGAAAATGAAACTTGTACTGAGATTCACACTCAATGTTAACATGGCAAGACAAGATTGGTTACTTGGCATAGAAGTTCATGCAACAAATCCTGTCCCGCCATGTCAATAGTGAGTGCAAATCTGGGTGCATGTAGCATAGAATTAGATTATCCCTAGAGTGTTCTTGGATTCCAATTAACCCTAGAAGACTGTCTCTTCAATATTATTCCATTCTCTTCCTTAATTCCTAGTTCACTGCTTAATAATACTTCCTTTCCTAGTCCATGCACCTAGGCAGTTGGTTTTTGCCCCAAGAGTAACCCTACAACACAAATTTTGGCATTTTGCACTAACCATAAGCATTCATCTTCAAATGATACATGCACCATCTTCTAGAAGTTCATAAAACAGATGAAAACAAACCATCTTTTAGGTGTTCACACTTCACAGGTAGTAATTAAAAATAAAATTTGTAAATGAGAAGTAGAAAATGAAAGGAACCTGTGTGATTTTACTATGTAACTATAGATATAAACAAAGCACTACCTCATCTATCATTTTCTTGAAGAGGGAGTGAACTGTCTTTGAGTCGAGTTCTGGAGGCACAGTAATAGATCCCTTGGTTTTGTTTGAAACAGCATTATGGCACTCATCTAAAAACTGACTTCCATATTCATGGATGATCTTCAAAGGGCCCTTTTTCACCATTCCTAGAATAGATAATCATTACACTTGACTCAATAACAGCTCATTCAAAAAGTCAACAATACTTCTTGAAAAGGTAAACATATCTAAATTTTCTTTCATTCCATTTTGATTATCAAATACTTTGTTATGGCTAACATCACTCAACTAATAATGAAGCTAGAAAATGGGTCCAACAATGAAATCACAAAAAAGTGAAAGTTGGAAGTGGGACCCACTTCAATATTACATGTCTTTGACGCCAAGGATACAAAAGCATAAATTCCAAAAATTACATTTCACTTTTTCATTTGGTTTGATATTCTCCCTTTACAGCCTAAACACTTTTGTAAAGTTATTGTTGAAGTTTCATCTAAGGAAACGATCTTGGCCTTTATATTGACAAAAAATTACTCTACAGAAAAGAATAGGCAAAGAAAATCATGAATTAAGGCTCATGGAATTGGAGGATTTGCAGATTCTTTATTGTGTGGGTGAGCAGGTGTAATAGGAAAATAATTCTATCCACCACATAGTCATAGAGGCACAGAGAAGTTATTAAACCATTTACGCATCCACATCTGGAACAAATCACTGCCTTGCGACCACTTGTCATGGCAGTGCACCTTTTCACAACTCTTTTGAACAACTCATTCTTTTTCAAATGCTCCAACTTTGTATTTCTCATCTTTCGTAGGAAGTCTAGACGTTCTTTTTCACCAAGAAGAATGCGGGAACAACCCTATAAAAATAAAATGGTGAGAATGAATGTAAGACAATTTGAAGTCAGAGATCAAGTTGTGAAAATTTGCAAACCATTTTCTCTTGCACCAGATAAAGCATCATGAACGAGAGTCTACCCTGATGTTTGGTAGCAAAAAAATGAAAACAGCCATAAAAAATAGTAGTTAATCTTCAAGCTCTTTATTAGCATAGTTCCAACCATGATCATTCACCAACTGTTAATCATGTTCAAACTCCTCATTAATATCCTTCTCTCTTTTAAATAGTTATCCCAATTAAAAAAACTCAATAGATACCACCCTATTCCTCTTCCTGAAAGTTGACACCCTCCTAATCAGTTCCCCTCCGACACAAACAAATCAAATATCGTGGCTTCCTGAATTATTCTTAAATATTGCAACAACTACATTCCTACAAGTCACATTCAACATACCATTTTGCCATATATTCTCTAACCTATAGGGCCTTTAAGATGATATAAATAAGTGCCATGAAGCTCATGAATAAAGAGCTGTGTGCTTAACCAACATGGTTGGCGTGGTGGTTCAGCACCTCGTCCCATAAGCATGAGGTTGGGGGTTTGATCTCCACCCATGTGAATGGAGCAAACCATTTGGCCAATCCCCTACTACTTAGTGTGCTGACTGTTGGGACGGAGGATTAGTCTTCTGGGAAGGAATACACATAATGGGGATGGGAGTTTACAATTGAGCACTCTGCACTCCTAAATCCAATGTTATTAAAACCAGACTGAACTGCAGTTAAAGAGAAAAATGGTTCACTTTTTGTCAAATACCAACTATGCAATCCACCCATTTGACCCGCAGGTAAACTGCAAAAGTTATGTAACACCAGCAATTTTTAAACTTTTTATACAAAACAAAGGTTGAACCATAATTTTAATATTCATGGGTTAATGGTAGTTAAGTTTTAATAAAACTGCCTGCATCGAACATCAAAAACTGTAAAATTTCCTTTGGACAATAACACCAGAACTAGTGCTCCATAACCAAGTACCTTGCAAATGCATTTCAAGATGTCCACAATGATGGGTAGATATCCAACATTAAAAACTGGTAAAGCAAGATTCAAGTATCCATAGTGACCAGGACATTCTTTGAAATCTCCATTGCATGTTGCACAAGATTTGGTCTTGTTTGGAGGGCCCTGAAAAAGTGAAACCCAAAGTTGTGTGAGTTATCTACAAAATACAATTATAATCAAGTGGTTTGCAAGACTTGCTCTGCCCAAACAATGGTAGGCAAGATATAATGGACATAAATGAGACTACGAGAGGCAGTCATTCTAAAACGTTTAACCATTGTTTCCACTGCCAGTTTGTCAAATTTGTTTCCATTCCAATGATCTATGACGAATACCATAAATTTATTCTTATTCACTTCTCAAAATGAATATAGAGACGGTGCAAAATGCAGGTAAAGTGATATAGATTAAGATCAATAATGTCAAAAATGGTTAACAGCATAATTTTACAAAAAATAAAAGATGTATTCAAGCATTTCATGCTAATGAATCAAAAGGAATGCCAACTGAACCCAGTCATATTTCACTACAATGTTTATTAGCATCCATCCTCTTAATCCAATATTAGCACTCCAAGTTTACTCGGCCTTCATGTGCCCACCTACATTCATGTTTTACTTTGTCCCCAAAAATCTGCCCAGTCGGTGTATGGCTCTAAATCTACAGCCTACCATTTTACAAACCATAGAGAACTCCATGTCTCATCAAAGCAAAAAATAAAGAATACGAACAGTTATGGAGGTCAATAGAAGATGAAGTACAAATTGAAGAAAACCACAAGAGTTAAAATGAATAGGACTTATAATTTATTATTTTATATACGGAAAACAATTGACTTCATTAGCTATCAAGCTTAAAAGTTGCATTGATGACTTGTTTAATAATGGCATCCATGCCAAGTTGTAACAAGCTTTTTATCAAGCCAAATGCTAATAGTTTTGTTTTGAAGCTTGCTTCTTATAATTCAAACTTAGACAATGCATTTCTACACTTATCACAAAAGTAAGCATTACCATGCGAGGGTCTAATAGGCCATTGAGAATAGGATTCTTGGAAGCATCATAGTAAACTCCACGATAGACTTCAACTTCAGCTGATTTCATTACTTCAGAACCAGAGAAAGTTGAAAACTGAATACTTTTTCTGTAAAATGCCAATGAAATTAGGATAAATATATAGATTAAACTCAACTTAAAAACACTCAAAAAGAAAGGAAAAAAGAACATGCTCAAATTGAGAAGAACAGAAAGCATACATTTTCCGAGGGCCCACATCTTCAATGTAAGGCTGCTTGGTGAACTGCATTTCTTCTCTTTTCCTCATCATCATCTTGACCACTACTAACCTCAATCAACTTGTTTGTGGGAGGTACTCTACTCTGAAAAGTTGATCACTTGTATATTGTCCTTAGGGTTCAGCCTAAGCATAAGCAGCAATGCAGTTATAATTTTTCAACGAAACAGTTCAACATCATTGCACCAAACACTACTTTAAATTGATCAAAGAAGGTTCAATGGATAAAATTGATTGAAAATAAGATTGCATTTACATTGAATTATATTTACTTAATAAATACAACACTCTGAGTTTCAAATCTACCAGATACACTGATTGCATAGTCGAATTTCTTCTCCTCCGACTGCTATCTTCCATGCGGTGAAGATAGTCGATTCTTCTCCTCCGACTGCTATCGATCGCCGCGAATTTTATCGAGATAAAAAAAAAAAACCTACATTTATAATGTAGCCACCGGTGAGAATCGAACCTAGGTTATTGCTAATTCCAGCATTCTACCTCAACTTATATTTACCATCTGAACTATTTTGTTAGTTTGTTTAATAACCTAATGATATTATACTTCTACCTTAGAATTCTAGTATAAATATAAGGATTAATATTTAATGTATAGATGCTATACACGGAATACACCGATAGTAAAGGAGAATGTCATCACTAAAAAACAAAGTCAATATTAACTGGGTCTTTTTTTGCAAAATATTTAAAACTCATATTTTATTAAAAAATTCTTTGATTTCTAACTAACAAAATATATCTACTTTCTTAAAAATATTTGTTACTTAATTATTATATATCTAATTTCCTAAACATTTTTAATTATTAGATGCATATTCCCACACAATTTATATATATTATTATTCTTCCCAATTACGGTATAATTAGTGTAAATCTCTTAAATTAACATTAATTATTAAGGAAGAAAAGAATACAAAGATTATTAAACTGATAGCTACATTCTCCAAAATTATTAGTAATATAGTTTTTTTTTTTAGAATGTTAGTAATATAGTTAGTAAAATAATACTTAGATTTGAGAGGTTTTGAATTGTAACTTCTTCACTGTAATTTTTTATATACAGAAACAAAAAAATTAAAAAAAAAAACAAAAAAAAAAACAAAAAAAAAAAACAAAAAAACAAAAAACAAAAAAAAACCAAAAAAAAAAAAAACCAAAAAAAAAAAGTAAAAATCTTAACTGTGGAAGAATTTCGTCTATTATATATATTCACATAATTATAAAATTGAAAGTGTTATTTTCTTAAGTTATTCATAAAATCATTAGGTGAATTTTTTTAACGATGTCATGATATTTGTCAATTGATAATAGTGTGTATGTGTGCGAGCAGTAGCAGAATCAGAAAATTTCATTGAGGAAGTTAATGTAATGTATTGTAATGATTTTGCAGATACACGTTTTGTCACAAGCAAAATGCTAACCTAATTTTTTTTTAATCATAAATTTGTTTGGAATGAATTTTTCATGCTTTACCTACATAAATTTATGTATGTATTTTTGTATTTTCTTGTACCAATATAATTATATTATTGTCAATTGTCAATATATAAAAACTAGATAATTAACAAATAAATGATGATAAAATATCTATACAAATTATAAAAACGTTACATTTTTTTTTATATCTATCGGAAGGGGGAGACCCAAAGAACGAACAACAATTTAGACAATAGCTTGGCGCCATGCCGGAAACCCAATAGCATCATCCTCGAGCAAAACACAGACGTTATCTGGTGGAGCCACTAGGGTACGCAGACCTCTTGGTAAACCTCTGGACGAAGCTGCCAATGTGTCCGCGACCCGGTTTTGTTCTCGTAATATACGGGAAACACTCCAATCTTCCACTCTGGCTAATTCCATCCTGCAAGCTCAAGGATATTCTGAGCAATGATATTCTCTATTCTGCCACCATTGATACCTGCCTCTATCTCGCTGGAGTCACTCTCCAAGTCAACTTTCGTGAAGCCCTTTGAAAGGCCGAATTGGATCCCTTTTAATAGTGCCCAGGCCTCCACTACCAGCGGTGAACAAACTCCTATACTTGACATGAAACCCCCTAGCCAATGGCCATTCCAGTCTCTCAAAACGCCACCGCAGCCAGCCTCGCCCGAATTTAAGTTGACCGCCCCATCAACGTTTATTTTGATACGTCCTTCCTTTGGCTTTTCCCACTTAATCGGATTCCACCTAGGTACAGCTTGCCTTGGTTTAGCACCTTTGGCTTTAGAGAATGCATTAGTGACTTCTTCAACTTGAACCTTGATCCAGGCAACTTTAGCAGCTAAAGGCTTAGACGTATTCCTAAAAATGACCTCATTGCACCACTTCCATAACCACCAACATGTCAAGGCAAACACTGTACGTATTGGTGTTCAGAGGATTCCTACCACTATTTCTTCCTGCAATTCCCATGTCCAGCCACTTTGCAAATGTCTCAGAATTTTTAGCTCGAAAATGATCAGAAGGGGAGATGGCCCTCCAAACTTCCTCAGCCCTTGGGCATCTGCGTAGCACATGTTCCGTATCTTCTATCGCATCATTACACAGCCAGCATTTATCACAAATTGCAAATCCGCGCCTTACTCTATTGTTGTTCGTCATAAGCTTCTCATGTTTCGCAAGCCATAAGAAGGAGGAAATACGACTTGGCACCTTCAACCTCCAAATGTTATTCCACTTTGCCGCCTCCAGCGGTGGGGCATGGTCTGAAGCTAGTTCGTAAGCAAAGCTAATGGAGAACTTCCCGATGTCTTCCCTCGACCAGCCAACAAAGTCCGTCACCTCGTGGTCATGGCATATAAACATGGCTGCAATCTTACTAAGAATGGCTTCTGGTAGAAGCCCTTCCAGTTTGTCCCAGTCCCAGCCAGTGATAGGATCCCAGTAATAAGCTACTGGTTTGAGAAGCTCGTAACGTGGTGTTGGGGCCAAAGCAAGCTGCTGCAATGGGCAATCCTCCACCCAGGTATCCAACCAGAAGCTCATGTATTTCCCATCCTTAACAAATTTCTTAACTCCTCTTTGCAAGATCGGGGCAGCTTTAAGGATCCCTTTCCAAGCATTCGACATGTTCGCTTTCGGGGACCAGTCTGAAAAGCGGTAAGAGGTTACAGCGTATTTAGCTCTAAGCAGCTGCACCCAAAGAGTGTCTTCGTTCTGTTCCATCCTCCATCCAAGTTTCGACATGAAAGCCTCATTCATTCGGTCCAAACTCCTTATACCCAAACCTCCATTTGATTTGTCTTTGGTTACAATATTCCAGCTAACAAGGTGGCAGTTTCTCGAGTCCTCGATACCCCCGCATATGAATCTTCGAATTAATTTCTCAATTGATAAAGTTACTCCAGCCGGCAAAAGCGTCGATTGCATTGTGTAGTAAGGGATCGACGAAAGCACTGATTTTGCAAGAGTCAGTCTACCAGCTAAGGACAGTGTTCGAGTTCTCCAGCCCGCTAGCCTTTCTTGAACTCTTTCTATAATGCCCACAAAGGACTCATTCTTCAGCCTTCCATGAATAGAGAGGACTCCTAGGTATTTGCCCAGGTCCGTCACCCTGGGAATGCCAGATATGTGTTCTATCTCGTGCTGCAAATCAACGGGGATATTTTTTGAAAAAAAAAAAGATGGAGGACTTTAGCAAGTTAACTCTCTGACCAGAACTACTACAGAACCTTTCCAGGAAAGCCTTCATTTCCCCGGCTTGGCGGGTTGACGCCTCAGCAAAAAGTACCATATCATCTGCAAAAAATAAATGTGTAATATGAGAGGCAAGGTTATTGACTTTGAAGCCTTTCCACCTACCTAGAGCCACAGATTCACGAATCAGATGGCTAAATCTTTATATGCAAAGAAAAAATAAGAGAGGAGAAATAGGGGGGTTTCCCTGATGTATTCCACGCTCTGGCTTGAACCATTCAGATTGGTGGTCGTTCCAAGTAGTTGACAGCCTTGATGTAGTCACACAAGACATGATATTCCTTACCCAAATACTGTTAAGTCCAATGTCCTTTAACGTATCTTCGATGAAGTCCCAATTCAGCCTATCGTATGCCTTCTCTAAATCAATCTTCATTATCATCCAACCCGAAGTCCCTTTCTTACATCTCATGGAGTTGAGAACCTCTTGGAAAACCATGATATTATCGGTAATCTGACGGTCAGGGACAAAACTTGTCTGGTGGGGGCCGACTAGTTTTTTGGAGATGTCCTTGAGTCTCGATGCCATTACTTTTGTTAAGATCTTGTATGTGATGTTGCACAGCCCAATTGGGAAAAACTGTTTCACAAATTCCTGAGAGGGCACCTTGGGAATAAGAGTAATTACCGTATCATTGCAATGGTTCAGAAGCTCTCCTTTTCCGAAAAAAGTCTTAGCAAATTTGACAATCGAATCACCCACTAGGCCCCATGCGTTTTGATAGAAAGCAGCAATAAAACCGTCCAGGCCTGGAGCCTTACAAGGCTCCATACTGAACAGCACACCCTTGACCTCCTCCGTAGAAAATGGCTTGTCAATCTCTGCCCAAACTTCCTCGCTTACACTAGGAAACTGGTTTCTAAGACAATCTTGAACTAATGGAACTGACTCCTTTGTATATAAGCCCATGTAGTAGTTCCTCACGTGAACACTAATCCTCTCATCCTCTGCTATCCATTCTCCAAAGTCATCTTTCAATTTATTGATTTTACTGCTGCAGTTCTTCACCATCGTAGCCATGTGATAGTATCGGGTATTTCGGTCACCAGACGTTATCCACTCCTCCCTTGACCGTTGATACCAAAGAAGCTTCTCTTGGTAGAGAGTTTCTTCTAGTTCCATCTAGAGTTTTCTCTCTAATCTCAATAGATTCGAGGTAACTTTGATACACAAGCTGCATTGCACACCATTGATCCTTGACAAAATGCGATTTTTCCTTTGGAAAATATTTCCAAAGACGTTCCTGTTCTAGTATTGAAGGGTGGTAGCCGTAGTCTCCTTGCTAACCTCCAAGTCCCCTCCTGGGATCCAATACTGTCTTATAAGGTCCATAAACTTAGGGTGTGTAGTCCAAGCAATGTTGAACTTGAACTTTTTCCTGTTAACACTGGGAAGAGACAGGTTAGTATTAATCAAAAGTGGGGAATGGTCAGAAGATACCATCTGAAGGTGCTCAACATGTGTGCCCGGGAATCTTAATTTCCAATCAACGTTAGCAAGGGCTCTATCCAACCGGGCACTCTTGAAAGTTGTCGTATTTACACCCCTCATCCAAGTAAAACTTGAACCTGTGAATCCTAGATCAATCAGCCCTTCTCGGAATATCCACGCGTTGAACTACGAGCATCTGGACGAATTGAAAGTCTCTGGATTATTGACTTCGCTCCGGAAGGCTACCGTATTGTAGTCCCCTACTGACATCCAGGGTCCTTGTATGTC